TCGGAGGAGACCCCAGAAGCAGCAGGCGCTGAACCTACATTGATGGACTGGCTGAATCTGTGTGATAAGCGGGCCCTGGCTGTGGCGTCCGTGCCTGTGATAGGGCTCCCCCAGCATGAGGAGGGAGGCTGACAGTCACAAGTGGGGGCTGCCCTGGGCTACACAGGCTCCTTTCTGAGGTGACTCTCTGCTCTGGCTTTAGGGACTGAGGGGAGGACAGGAAGAAAGAAGTGTGTGCCTAGAGATGAGAGACAGGGGCCTGGTGTGCAGCAGGAGGCTGGTGTGAAGGTGCCTGTAGGAGAGCACAATGTCAGCTCCCAGCCTCCACCTGAGAGCAGACAAGTATGGCCAAACGCAGCAAGAACGTTATGGGAATGGCTCAAAAAGTGCAAAGCCCACGTGAAGAAAATGGAACCAGGTGCCAAGGAGAGAGCTGCAGATCAGGAAGACTTGGTGTGCATAAACGTGGAGTACTATGCAGGAATGAAGAAGGATGAGCTCATGTCATTTGCAACAATGTGACTAGAGCTGGAGGGGATGATGCTAAGTGAAGTCAGAAGGAGAAAGAAAAATACAGCAGAGCAATATCCCTACACTGTGATGAGAAAGGGCCTCTTCCCCTGACAGCCCCCTCTTCTTTGGGGTGTCCCTGATTGGGGGTGGGTCCCTCAGAGGCCCTGTGGAGGCTCAGCCCACAGTGAAGGCCCATCTTGAGCCTTGGTCATGGCTGGAGTGACAGGGCTATCCCCCATGTCTCCACCACCGTCACACCACCAGCTGCTGGGAGCGATGCCCCCTTCTGCCATGGTGGCCCCGAGCCCCCCATCTAGGCAGTGTCCGTCAAGTGCACGTGTGTGCCTATTGGCGGAGACTCCTTTGCCGGGTCCCAGAAGGCTATGGGGGCCACGTGGCCTCTCAACAGCACTGACAGCCAAGGGAGTCAGGGGCAAGGATGAGCCCTGCAGACACCCGAGAACTTCCACAAGGAGCAGGGATACCAGGTCAGGTCCGACATGAACCCAGGCAGATGTCCTGGGTCGCCTGCACCAGCACTAGCGCCCCAGCCAGCCCGGCACTCCTGGGCCAGAGCTGAGGGAGGTGGGCAGGCTGGGAAGCATTTGCTCTGAGCCTGCCACCTCCTCTAGAGAGTCAGCCAAGCTACAATGAGGTAATCAGGACCAGGTAGCAGAGAAGAGAAGCAACAGGGGCCTCTGACCATCTCTCTGGGGCTAAAAGGTCACAGGGCTCAGGCAAACAGAGCCCTCCCCACGGCCTACAAGATGCTGGTCGGGGCTCAGTGTGACCTGCACTCCAAAAGGCTAGAGCACCGCCAGGCAGCCTGGTGGGGTGACAGGTGGGGAGGGGGATTCAGGCCCCCTCACGGCCCCGTGGCCTGAAACCTCATGTCTGGGCTCAGGGCAGCCCAGGGGCTCATGTGATGTGGGGACACGGGACAAGTGGGCAGCGCTCTCTGGCTTGGCGCCACAGGGAGCCCAGCACCCCCGCTCATGGAGCCCAAGGCCCCGCCGTCAGCCACGTCACCCAGAATGGGGCAGCCATAACTGCCATAATGGATCCTGAAACTGGCTGGTCTTCCCAAGTGTCCAGCCCCCGTTCCCCCCTACCCCAAGTCTGCACCGACATCGTGTCCTTACATGAAAGCCAGTGGGAGACAAAAGCAGCTGCCCTGGTGGGGCTGGGGGATACAGGACTCTGGGCAGTCTCCTCAGTGCCGCGCCTGATGGGCCGGCGGGGCCTGACGTGCAGAGCTCAGAAGAGGCTGCAGCTGTGACACCTCCTAAAGCAAGTGGGCCTGGCGCCAGTGCAGAGCAGGCAGGAGAGCCAAGAGCTGAGGACGTTGCTGCAAGTTTTCCTCCACCAAGGTCCAGGAAGCTGCCAGGGGCATGGCCTGCAGGGTGAGGCTGCGTGTGCCCACTGCCCCCAAGCAGCCAGAACTGCTGGAAAAATCTGGTGGGTTTCCCCACCCACACCAAAGGGCGCGGCCTGTGGAAACCCCTCCCTCAGGCACCAGCAGGTTGGATGGGCCAGTCAGGAGAAGTCAACTAGGGCTGGGGGATCCCTTAGACTCTGGGATTCTGACTCTGTACCTGGCCTTGGAAAGAAGAAAAACAAAGCTTCTAGCAGCTGACCTCCAAGCGTTTGCAGGGTCTGGGAGCTCCAAGAGGCAGGAGAGAACAGGAAAGGCCGGAGGAATAGGGGAGGCCCAGAGATAAGGGCATTGAATCCCACAGGGGATTCATCAGACTCCCAGGGCTGGGAGCAGCAGGACGTTCCTGGACAAGGATAATAAAGAAACAGGACCCTGCGGGGAGCAAGACGTGATTCTGGCCACAGAGACATGGGTGGGTGAGCGAGACTACCCAGAGCGAACCGGGCACAGAGACGGGGCTGCAGGGGGTCAGGGAACGCAGGCTGCATACCCGGAGTGCAACTACACGGGCTGCCTGGCCCCTCCCTGCCTGGCCCACCAGCCTGGGGGGGTCCCGCTTATTTCTGTTCCTTTCTCCCTAATAAGCGTTTCCTTGTATCTGTTTCTCCAAACAAATCTGCTCCTTCGCCTGCCTGCCTGAGCACCAGCGACTTTCTGTCATGGCTTTGGGAGACTCCAGCCCAGGTGGGCTCGTGGCCGGGGCTCAGCGCTGCCCCCGCAGCCTGGGGTCCACTCTTGGTTGGGACTAGACCTGACCTGACATTATGGTACCCCTGGGAGGCTGGGCCTGCCCCCGCCTTGTCACCACAGCCGCCTGGGGTCTCGAAGAGCTGTTAATCGGATTGTCCGACATTGTTTGGTGCAGTGACCTCCACTACCGTCTGGACCCGTGTCCGGTGCTGTCCATCCCGACATTCAGGCTGGGGCTGGGACTGCAGCAGTGGCAGTGTCTTGGTGGCCTCCGGTGGGCATCCCTCACTGCCACGAGCCCCAGGCCCTCGGGGGCTACGCCTTTTGTTTGAGGCCCTGGACATCGTGGACACTGTCTGGGGCAGCCAGCCACTGTAGCCTTAGTCCATGTTTTCCCAATTGTTAAACAGACCCCACTGTTGTTCCCTGAGCCCACGGGGTCTCACCATGGTGTGTGGGTGAGGCCCACAGTTATCCGTCCTCTGCTGGGCACCGTCCATGGACAGCCAAACCCCCATAGCTGGCTTCATTGATAAGCTGCCAGAACTATTCTCTTCTTTCTTGTCTTCCTGATAAAAAAACTGCAAGGTAGCCTTTTCTTACTTAAAAGTCTTCAGGGGGCCCATGCAGGGGACCGACTCTCCATTCGTCCGTGCTCAGCAGATTGTGTGATGGGTCCAGCCAGGGCTTTGGACAGACCAAGCGTCTCCTCTGTCTCTGAGAGACAGTAACTGTGCCAAAATCCTTCTAGAAAAGGAAGGGTCTTAAATCCTGTCACTCGACCAGAGAAAGCACCTTGGGTTCTAATTAACCTGGAGAGATGAGGGTCTGAGCGGCCCCCGTGCCGGGCGTCATCTCTGTGATGCCACACCAAAGAGGAGCAGACCCAACAACTACAGGGCCACGCAGCCCCACACCGGCCACCTGGCTGCAGCCAGGACACCGGCAGCCAGCTCTGGGCCTGCAGAGAGGCTTCCGGAAGCAACAAAGCCAAGACAGCTGGCGAAGAAGCAACCCGCAGAGCAGGACAGTCCTTGGGACAGCCAGGCCAGGCAGGACCCACACGCCCGGGGATGGACCCACCCTGAAGCCAGCGGATCCTAGTGTGTGGCCAGACTGGGGTCCAGACTCAGAGGCCCACAGGAGCGGACTGTCCTATCTCTAGCCCAGGGTCATGGGGCCCGACTGGCAACTGGCACTTGGCACATGTCCTGTCCGCTCAAGTCCATGTTCTTCCCCTGCCTGGGGGCCCTGCACCCCAAGACACCCCCAACAGGGCGGGTCCCATGGTCTCAGCCCACAGCTGCTCCAATCTCAGCAAAGCTACAGCTACACAGGTCAGTGGCACATACCAAGTTTCCGGAACCTTCCTCGCCAGCAAGGCTGTTCTGTTTCCAATCAAGTCCTCACTATAATTGACTACTTCTCAGCTCAACAAGAGCCTTTTTTTCCCTTTAGATTTTTTTTTTTTTTTGAGTTGAAAAATTTCTCAACAGTCCATGGGGTAGATAGACCAAATGCTGACCCAGGTAGACCCTATCCAAGCGAGATGGCTTCCCACTCCCAGGAGTCACAGTTAAGAGGCAACAAGAAACAGATGAAATTAACTGGAATCATTGCTTTTTACTTAACCAGACATATCAAAAACATCATCACGCCAACATGAAATCCTTATAAAGGTACCCGGGTTGACAGCTCCCTCCTTTCCCTGAATGTCTCACGCTGAGGCTCACTGAGGGGGTCTAGAGTGAGCCTGGGAATGGGTTCAGAGAGAGGCCACAGCACACTGCTCCCCAGAGCCGGCCCAGCTGCCCGGCTGCCTTGCTCTCACTGCATGACACCCGCGTGAACAAGGCCCAAGCGCAGATTGCCTGCAAGTGCAGGCCTGCGGGCACGGCGCCAGCCCTGAGAGGCAGGACTGCAGATGGTCTCTACTGCACATGCCTTAGTGTCTTCCTAGCTCCTGTGTGGCGAGCAGCACAGCTGCCTTTCCACACACGACCACCTGGGCCAGTTCCTGGGCACGGCGGACGGGGCACCCGCCCCTTCCCCCAAACAAACCCACTGGGCCCCTCCCCAATGACCCTGCACCTCCCCTGCTTTGCTGCACAGTCTTCCCACAAAATCCTGCCCCCCTTGATCAGAGTGGACTTGAGGGTCATCCCCCCATCCTGCTTGGTGCTGCTAGATGCTAAAACCTGTCCCTACTTCAAACCTTCAGCGTCCAGCATTTGACTTTCTGCTGGGCACTGAGCACCCCTGCAGCACCTCTGGCCACACGGGCCTGTGGACATGGCCCAATCCAGCTGGACAGGCCCGACAGCTGCACCCCGCGCCCCGCCACCGCCACCATACTCACAGCCAATCATCATGATGGCCACGGCGAAGATCTTCTCGATGTCTGTGGAAGGGGCAATGTTCCCAAAGCCCACGCTGGTGAGGCTGGTCATGGTGAAGTAGAGGGAGGAGATGTAGACGGAGTTCTTGCTGGGCCCGCCCTCCCACTTGCCCGAGCCCGAGCCGTTGAACTGGTAGGGTGTGCCGATGTCCATGGCCAGCTGGTAGAGCCAGCTGTTGTTGCGGATGGTCTTGGTGTCCTCATCAAAGATCTCATAGTCTCCAATGCTATACCAGATGCAGGCCATCCAGTGCGCAGCCAGTCCGAACACGCACACCAGCAGCACTAGCACGGCCGCCCCATATTCGATGTAGTGGTCCAGCTTCCGGGCCACGCGCCCCAGACGCAGTAGCCGGACCACCTTCAGGGAGCTGAACAGGCTGCTGATGCCCTGCGGGGGGACACAGTGTCAGGTGGACCGGCCCACTCGCCCTCGCACCCACTCACAGCACGTCCCAGGATGCGACTGTACAGCCCTTTAGGGGGGCTTCAAACAAGCTGCGCATGGAAAGTGCTCGGACACATATGCATGTTTGCACACACTAGGACTAGAATTTTATTCTGAGGAGTAGGGAAGGCCAATTTCCAACAGATTTTTTCCCTACTTTCACAAAAAGCAAACACACAAAACAGCAATACAAATAAAATTAGAAATGTATCTGACTGATGGGCTGCGCAGGAGCAGGGACCTAGAGCACTTTCCATACCACGCCTCATTTTCAAGCCATTTTAAGGGCCGTGTAATATTTCATATTATAGGCAATATAAAATATTTTCAGCATTCCGTAATGTTGATTTCATACTGCATGTGAAATGCTAATCACATGGGGCATGAGTTGACAAGCATTTGCGGGGTGCAGATGTGAGGGATCACACATGGGCAGGCATCATTGCAGGCGATTTTTCACTATATTTTGTGTATTTTTGTTCTGCTTGCATATACTTAATTTCCACAATTGAACTTATTTCTTTGATAATTAGAAAAAGCTATTTTTTAAAAAGCACAGTTTTAAAAGAAAAAAAACCAAATCAGAGAAATGGCTGAGTAGAGTGAGGGGCTGAGCCTCTGCCCTATCAGGGAAGTGCACCCCTGCACCTCCCTCAGCAGCCCCCCCCGCACCCCCTGCATCCCCCTGTGTCCTCTAAGCCCCCTAAACCCCCCTGCACCCTTCTGTGGCCTTCTGCACCCCCAAACCTCCCAAGCCTTGCACCCTTCTGTGCCCTTCTGCACCCCCTTGTGCCCCACTGTACTCCCTGCACCCCCCCGGAGCCCCCTGCGCCATTATGCGCCCCCCTTCACCCATGCTGGGCATGCTGGCACCTCCCGTGGTGGCTGGGTGCTGGGGTGCCCCCGCTGCCGCACCCTCTGGCTGGTGTCCAGAGGTCACTGGGCAGCTCCAGCATCCCCAGGACCAGCGCGTGGGTGAGGACGGAACACCAGGGCAGGGCCCAGTGAGCCACTGACTTGTCTGTGAATTGGGAAAAGACAGGAACCTGTCACGACGACGGGCAGGAGGACCCAAGGGCCCACTCCCCTCTCTTGAGGGCGGCTGCCCTCCCGGGGGACCAAGTGCAGCACAGACGTACCCCTCAGGCCTTGCGCCCCACTTCCCCACAAGACTGCCAAATCCCAGGCACCAAGGGCATCTCCACGTGTCCTGCCTGCCCTGCGCAACCCCAGGACGCACGACTCTGACTCTGACTTGGCTGCTCCCCCTGCCAGAGCAGAGGACAGATGATGCTTCCCTGCTCTGAACATGCTGCACCCCTGTGTGGTCCCCGAGTCAGGGGACACCTCAGAGGAAAAGGGGCCTCCTTAGGAGAAGCCTGGGTGGGCAACAGGGCCAGTCCCCGGGACTTGTTCTCCACACAGGTTGGGGGTCCTGACCATGGCGGCAGCAGAAAGCACGCGTGTTCCATGTGCCTCTCCCTCACCAAGAGCCCCTGACACCTTCCAGCTGGCTGATGTGACCCTGAGGCCAGGTGTCGAGCATGGAGTCATTGGCTTGGAGGGCCCTGGGTCCCCGCAAGGCCCTGGGGAACACCCCTGCCCCATGCTGGACCCGCGGCGATCGAGGGAAAGAGACCGCACCACCCTTGGGGATGCTCATCACAGCAGCCCCTCGGCCCTCCCAACTCGCAGCGCACACCCGAGCACACAAACCCTCCTGCTGCACACCCTCGTCACAAGCACGAGATAAGTGGCCACCCAGCCGGTGCTGCTGAGTCCAATTCTGTCCTGGGAGAGACAAGCACATGTTCTGTATGTGTGACATTGACAACAGAACCCTCTGCTGTCTGACAGCACCAGTAAATGGACAGCGCTGGACCAAAGGGCCAGCTGGGGGCTCACCTCTGGTCTTCCTCCTTCAGGGCCTCCGGCCGCCTGTGCTGCTCATGCAGTAAAGGCTGCGAAAGTCCTCAGGCGGTGTGGCCCAACAGGCGATGTGCAGTGGCCCCTAGGGGGTCTGTGTGGGACACGGGAAGTCCACTGCCCCACAGCCCGGACAGGAGACATCTGGGAGGCAAAGGCGTCTTTTTGACGACAGCTCCCAGCAAGTTCTGAGGGTATGCTTGATCCCAGGGGCCGGCAGCCTCCCTTTGCTAAGTGACGGTCCTGCTCCCCTCAGCTGCTCTCCTCTGAGCCCTTGGAGACCCTCGTGCCAGGCAGAGAAACCCGCGACTGCACAGCCCAGCTGTGGTGGACTGTGGCCGCTGAGCCCCTGCTCTAGTTGAGGGGGGCTCCTCCCAACACCAGCTTCTCCCAGGCTCCACTCCCATCCTGGAGCTCAGGGGAGGGGCCCTCGTGTCCTCACCCCCAACCCCACCCCCCCTTTGAGACCCACAGGGTGCAGCGGGAGAACCTTAATGTGCACAGGGAATACCCTTCACGCTGCAGCCTCCTCTCCACATTCTGGCCTGCTCGCCCAGGAAAACCAGGACCCCCTGAGATCTGCTGGCCATCATTTGACATGACCACCCGCCTCTCCCCTCTGGCCCCACACCCCACACTTCCGCTCTACCCCACGCTCCTGCTCCCCCTGAATGCACCATCCTTCAAGTCTACACAAAAAAATGACGGGGCACAGTGAGGGAAGCTTTGTCAGTGATGTCTGTGCTCAGGGCTGGGGCGGGGGGTGGCAGGCACTCTTTGAGGAGGGCACTCAGGACCTGTCCTGCATGCAGGCCAGACACTCTGTCCCCGCAAGTCAAGTCACCCCCAGAGCAGCCACAGAGGACACGGGGTGCGTAAGCACCGCCAGGTCCCACTAAGGTCTTAGTGCCGGGCCTGAAACCCATGTCCCCAGGCATCTGCTTCTGCCCGGGCTCTCCTCCACAACGTAAGACGTCAGCCCCTCAGCTGCAGGCCCACCAAGAACAGGAGGGGCCGAAGCAGCTCACCACTGTCTGCCGGTCCCTGGGCCAGGGGACATGCAGGGAACTATTTTATTATGATAAATATCTTTAATGTTGTTACATGATTTTTATATGTAAAGTGAAAAAGATGACGCCATGAGCTCCTTGGGGTCAGCCGGGGGGGCGCTCACACAGGCCGGACCCAGACTCAGGCCCTGGGCAGACTCCAAGCCCCTGTGCCTTGACGCTCTCCCCTGACGGCCTCTGCCCAAGCACATCATCCCTTTGCTTTGCCTCAGAATCCGAGTATCGAGTCCACGGGGCTCCCTTGCCGCCTCCAGCATGTCTTCCCTGGCCCAGAGGCACCAGGTCAGGGCCCGGGACGTGGCTCCTGGCCGGCTCCCCGCCCATGCAAGGCCATGCATGCCACAGGCCCAGGGCAGCAGGACCCAGCAGGACAGGCTGCCCAGCGATTCTGCTGTGATCTCAGCGATGATGTGGCTGGTGCCCCGCAAACCAGCCACACGCCAGATGCCTGCTCTTCTGCCTGGAGTCTGGGAGCATTCCAGCTGCTGCCAAGCCATACACCCCATGTGCAGAGCCACCACACCAGCTACGGGCCTGGGCAGCAGCAAGACAAGAGAGCAAGGGACAAAGACGCCCTGAGCCCATGGACCGGGAAGACGGAGACTCCCAAAGGCGGAAGGTGAGCCTGACATGTGAGACCTGCTTCAGACCTGGAATCAAAGGTCTGTGAGGAAAAGATCCTCAAGCCACACAGATGCAGGAACAAGAACAAAAACTCAGGTCTCCCTCGTGGCACAGGGGTTTAAGATGCAGCATTATGGAGCTATCAGCAGCCACTGAAGCACGAGTTCGATCCCCCGTCAGAGTGACCCACATGGAGCAGCAGACCTCTCCTGTCTCCCCACTGCTCCCCTCAGCAGTGTATATCAGTAGATCCGCCTATTTTGCTCACAACTCTCTCTCTGGTGAATCCTCTCACTCCCCACACCTCTGGCCTGTACCCAAGATCTTATATGCATGAATAAATCAATCTTAAAAAAAAAAAGAATAAAAACAGACCTATGAGGGAGGCTGCAGCTGGTGCCAGGTCTCAGCACCCTGCTGTGCCCTTGCAGAGTGCCCCCTGCTGCTCAACGGGGGGATAGTAGGGGGTACCCTGGGCCGGTCCTTACTCACTGCCTTGCATTTTATTGGGGTGGGACAGACTGATACAACGCTGCGTGATTCCAGGATACAGGCTTACACCCCTTCGGATGTCTGTTGCCCCCACCACCAAGGCCCCCACAGTCTGCCACCACAGCCCATGGGTCCTCTCCCTTTGCCCCCAACCCCACCCTCCCCACCTGACAGCCTCAAGGCTCCCAGTGGGATTTCCAGGGTTTGCTGTGGCTTAAGTTTTGTCTGTTCCTTTGCTTTATTTCTCTGTACCCCTCTTAGAAGTGAAGTCATCGGCGTCTGTCTCCCACAGCCGACTTCGCTTGGTCTGAGCCCCCGCAGCCCACCGCATGGTCACGAAGGCAAGACTCCATCTCTTCCAGTGCGGAGCAGTGTCCCCCTGTGTCCGTCCCCACATCTTCCTCACCTGTTCCTGCGTCCTGGCACCACAGTATTTTGAAAGCCAGCTGGTGCTGATGGTTTCTTTTATTAGAAGTTATTAACGACCACCTCAAGTGCTGGCAGCAATACGGCCGCGCAGGTCTTCCACAGTTCTTTACTGAGTCGATTTTAGATGCCCCCACCAAGGAATTTTAATAATTTATGTCAATTTTCAAACAAGTTCTTAATTTACTCTTCTCCAAATCCCTATGCTATCTGTAGGAATGCCTTATGCTTATGGTTTTGTTTGTGCCTTTTCTGAATAATCGCAACAAAGTAATGTCAGTTTGATGAGTCTCCTCACAGGAGCCAACACTCGACACGGCTGCTTTGACTTTTGTCATTTTTTTTTTTTTCACATTTCTCCAATGTCTGTTTTCATCTTTACCATCTTCCTTCTACTTGTTGAGA